TCCTATCGATTGGCCTAATCTGCATGAAAACAAGTGATGAATAACTTAATTTCCAAGATGTAAGAAATGGAAAACACAATGCAGAAATTTGATGATGCTTCTTCATAGCTCTGTTTGAAAGATGATGCTTCAGTAAGTGTCTACGCTGCAATTAGATATGAAAAATGAGTAATGCTATGTGTACATAACACTCACGTCAAGATGCTTAGAAAAGCTGACAATCAGAAAACCGTGCTTCAGTCATTTATAACGATGCAAATCTAGAAGTCACATTAAAAGAACCAACAAGATTATATTAGAAGAAGCAAACAAAGTTGATCAGACTAAAGAGATAACACTTAACACCATCCATTTGGAAAGGCAAAATCGAAGTACACGGCGGTAAAACCTGAGCCTTCTTCATCAATTGAAATAAAATATGATAATTATCACAGATAGAAAACGTACAAAGCACGACAGTCAGGATACCATGAACAAGGTCTATTTCTCAAAAGGAAAAGCATTTCACTGAAACAAACGTAGATCTTCACAATAAGATTTAATAACATGAGGTCAAGTTAGCCTGCGTGAAAAAAAAAAAAAGTAGAAATAACTATTTTTGCTTCCATCCGTAATAAGTTTTTTTTATACCGCCAACAAGTGCGAAACAAATTATACGATAAGTTATGCGACAGACTGACAAAAATAATTGATAAAGTGCGAAACAATTATGCGTTAAGTTATGAGACACACAGACGGAGTTTATTTATAAAGTGTGAAATAGTTATACGACAAATAAACGAACATAATAGAAAAAGTGCGAAATAATTATGTGATAAACTATACAACATACCGGAGATAATTGATAAGGAGAGAAATAGTTATGCGATAAACTTGTAACAAACAAGCGAACAAAATTGATAAAATCCAAAACAATTATGCAATAAACTATGCGACACATCAAAGATAATTGATAAAGTGAAAAATAGGTATGCTATAAACTACGCTACAAACATGCGAACATAATTAATAAAGTGCGAAACAATTATGTCATAGACCAAAGATAATTGATAAACTACTAGTAGTGAGTGAATCATTGATGAAATTTATGAGTTGAAATAACTTTTAGTCGAAATTTGTTACTGTGATGGTTTGGAACATATTGCACTATTGTTGTTGTTATTATTATTATTATTATTATTATTATTATTATTATTATTATTATTATTATATAATACATCTTTTTATTTTTATCTACATTAAAATAAATGGTGAATATTAAAAATATATAATTCCCCTCAAAATAAATTTCTGAATCCGCCCCGTTTCAATGAAACTTGACTACTTAAGTTGGGAGATGCTACGGTCCCGTTATGGAACCATTCTGTTGGTGTTTGTAACCGTTAGATCAGCTATCCTCGACGGTTACATAATGATCCAACGGTCACAAACCCCGACGGAATGGTTCCGTAATGGGACCGTAGCATTTCCCACACTTAAGTTATACCAACAAGTATTAAACATCCATTTAGTGTCACAAATGCGTGTAGCTAATTTTACATAAAAAAAAATAAAAATATTATATGAGTACAACATCTTTTTCTAACCATATATGCTCACACATTTGATATTACATATTAGCAAACAATTTATACGTTTTGGCGTCCAAAACAATTTGTCTCACCGATGCAACTGTTCCTACTGCACACAACACGGTGGAAGTTACTGCAATAACCATGTTAACCCAAAAACTAAAGCTTTTTGTAGAGGGCTTAAAGGTGACATTGTAGAAAACCATGGGCAAAATAAAATCTAGAGGAATGCAACCAATTGCCCCGAAAAGTGCCATGATATCTCCAAAGAAAGGGAGCATGGCCGCCAACGTTGTGGCCACGACAACTGATAGTGATCGAAAAACGAGTCGTGGAATAGCATTGCGCATAGAGAATTGGTCCTTCTTCGGGTCTGCAAATTTCCGTTCTATCACAATGTTTGTTGGCTGCAAGTAGACCTACAAGACATATAGCAAGACATAAACATAATTTTGAGAGTTGTTTGTGTTGTGCCAAAAGTTCTATGGATCCGGCATATAGCTCTCGTGTAAAGCTATTTGTTAGAATATCATTTGTGAGTTGTCCCACATCGTTCATACATGGAAAATAGACCCACCTTATAAGTCTAATGGGCTACTCCTCCTTCCATCAATTAGTTTTGGGATGAAACCCTATTTGGGCTTCATATGGGCTTTTCCCCGTTCATGGTGCGCTTGCACCCGTTTTTCCCAGTTTCTTACACTATTCATAAATTGATAAATATTAACACATGTTTCATGTGTATTAATTTACAGCACATTATTTATACATAATTGTTAATGACTAATTCCATAAGAAGTGTCATTCGATTATGCGAAACTATTGAGTTATGCATACATATAGTTCTTTAATAGCTAGAGCGAGCAGTGGTACACATTAATATATATACTCACAAACTAATAATTATGGAATTTTATATCACCAGTATAATATTATCCTGTTGAGATCGTTTTAGTGTCCTGTTTTAGAGTTAGAAGTTTTTCTAGTTTTTCTTTGTTTTGTGCTGTCGTGAGTTTGTTCTTCTAGCGTTGTTAGGTTAGGCTCTAGGCGATCTTCGTATCTGTCATCTCACGAGTCATTCCAACCTTTGGCTGTATCTTTCAGCTTTTAACTGTGTTCTCGTCGCACTTTGTGCGGTTTTTAGTTATATAAAATCTCTATCATAATAAAACAAATGAAATTAATTATTAATAATACTAAAAACGTACGTACCAAAGTGACGGCAATCAACTGCACAAGAGTGAAGACACAGGTGATGAGAAGAAAGGATTTGGGCAGTAACGGCAATCCATCGGCGCCAATAAAATTTGAAAGAATTGGGCCCTTAGCCTCATTTCCAAAGGCCCAATACCCAGAAATGGCTACACTGAAATACGTGGAGACCACCACAGAGTAGCACAACAACAACCCTTTCAACATTTTGCCCCTCACTGGAGGTGCTATGGTTGCCTGCACCCACATTCATTTAATTAATTAATTAATTAATTAATTAATTAAATACTTAATTAATAAATATAGTCACATTAATTATTAAACTGCTAGACATCAAAATTAAAAGAAAATGCGACAGTCCCGTTACTAAACCATTTACCGTCAGAGATAGTTGATCTAATGATTACAAATTTCGACGGAATTGTTTCGTAACGGGACTGTAATATCTCTCAAAATTATAATATAGGCAAAGCAAATACAACCTGTATTTCAGGAACAATTGAATTCCCGTATGTTGTGGCCATTATTGAGATGGCATTGAAGACACCGAAAATACGATTTAGCCCTTCACCGCTGCTTATACTGTAATCTCTTTCCAGTTGACCCTCTTTATCAAATCCTACAACGTTCAATATTATAATATAAAAAATATTGATATTATTATTATTATTAGGCAAAATTACATTTTTAGGTTTGCTTAACGCCGTAGTATTTTTAGTCTCGATATTTCAATTTTTTTGTCTTTTGATCCTGTAATTTACAATTTTGCTGCAATTTCAGTCTTTTGGGACTGAAATTGCAACAAAGTTTAAAACTGCAAGACTTAAATTGTTAATCAAAAGAATTTTTATTAGCAATTTAAGTCCTGTAATTTTAAATTTTGTTGCATTTTCAGGACTGAAATTGCATTGAATTATAAAATCATAGGACCAAACAGCAAAAATGTTCAATTTTTAAGACTGAAAACGTCACTTGGATCAAACCAACATGACTAAATTTATAATTTTGTCTTATTATTATTATTATTATTATTATTTAATATAATTAATTAATTAATTAATTAATTTTTTTACCAATATATATGGAGGCAGCTGCTGAGAAGGCGCTATAAGCAAGGCATAAGAGTAAGGAGAGAAGGTTGATGTGCCTTAGAGAGTGAAAGGACGGCATTTGTGCCATGATTAAGGTTAGGCTTCCATACATGACTATGAATTGGTACAGCTGCATGCTCCCTTCTGCTCTTGATATTACATATATAAACTGCAAATAATTACATAAACTAATTAATCATGTACAATTAATTAATTGGTGAATATGATTTATTTAATATTTATTTTTACCCATATGATGCGACGATCCCGTTACGAAATCCTTCAGTTGGGATTTGTAACAGTTAGATCAACTATCCCCGACGATTATATGATGATCTAATGGTCACAAACTCTGACGAAATAATTCAGTAACCGAGCGGTAGCATTTCCCTTTTAAATCATACCTTGAGGAGCTGCCCACCAAGAAGTATAGTGGCAATGACGGCACCATAACAGACCACCAATTGTAGTGGGCCCACCAAGTAACGGCCCCATCCAGGCCCTGTCCCGAGTGCGTTTACCCATTAATCACTCGATCAAAATATCTTTTGAAAAGTCAAAAAGATATATATAAAAACTCAATAATCTCGTGCAGTACATACACATTACTAGAGTTGGAAGTTCGAGTCAAAGCTCTACTCGAGCTCGAGTTTGACTGAACTCGAGTCGAGCTCGAGCGGCTTAAGCACTAACTCAAATTGAGCTCGAAGACATATTTTATATTGTCGAGCGGCTCGATATATATTTTAAATTGTTAAAATACCCCTTGTATATATATATATATTTAAATAGTATAACATAAGTGTTTACTGGTAATTTCACTTAAAAATTTTGAGCTGAACTCGTACATTTGATTCGAGTCGAGCTCAAGCCGAGCTCGAGCTATTGCATTTTCCTATCAAGTCTAGCTCGAGCCTCATAAATCGAGTTCGACGAGTTCGAGCAGCTAAAAAAAATAAAAATCAATCCTTTCCAGTCCAACACATTACACACGCGAAAAGAGAAATATATCTGTACAATATAGATAAGACGTACTAATCATTTTGCGGGGAAACATAATAATACTTTTTCTTTTCAAGATATATTGGGATAAAAAATAAAACTAAAGATTATTTAGTTATTAATATTATTGGGAAATGCTACGGTCCCGTTACGGAACCATTCCGTCGGGTTAGTAACCGTTAGATTGTCATGTAATCCGTCGGAGATAGTTGATCTAACGGTTACTAACCCCAACGGAATGATTTCGTAATGGAACCGTAGCATTTCCCAATATTATTATGTACCTAAAATATGATGAGCCATATCTCGATAACGCAGTTGGCGCTGGCCGAATTGTGCATAGTGCTCCAAAACAATGGACATGAGAGTGTAGGAGTAGAATGTGATGAAAGCAGCAAACGTAAGGCAAATAATTCCTCCGATCCATCCCAAAAAGGCGAAAGCATACGGCAAGCTCAGGAGGGCCGGCCCTACTATGGCCGTCGTCAAATGGTAGCCGCAGTGCAACCATGAACCTACCATACCATACCGCTAATGTTAAATACTCGGGAATTTTTACAATCCCGTTACAGAACTATTTTGTCGAGGTTTGTAATTACTAATTAGATCATCATGCAACCTGATTCTGACGGAAATGTTTCGTAACGTAACTGTAGCATCTTCGTACATACTCATACGGAATCATTAATTTAATTTGATTAATTAAGTTGGTGCGTGCTCACCTTGGGATTTCAGGACAAAGAGAGCCGCCGCATCGACATCCTTTATCACACCATTTTCTCCGTCTAATGGGAATATTCCGGTGGAATCTCCACCACCATCTCTCTCCATCTCTCTCTCTCTCTCTGAGTGTATGTATGAGTGGACGAGTGAGATTTTTATAAAATTAATTAATTAGTAGATTGGTGTTACAGTCAAAGTCGTCACTCAGATTGGTGCTACTGACTTGTTCAAAGTTTGTCATTAAATATAGGCAGCAATATTCAAATTAGTGACAATATACAACGATTTATATAATGGGGAGGTCAAAGTTAGACAAGGCCACGGGCTGGCCCGGTTCGTCGTCCTGGTCCCGACCCGGCCCACAACCGGTCGTAAGTTGCCGGTTCCAAGAACCGGTACAGTGGCTTTACGGGTCATTTCCGGGTCTCTTTTTTTTTGTCCCGGTAATCTGGGTTCAGACCGATTCACGGACCAGACCCTTGGTTTTTGGCGGACCGGTCAAGGGTCACTCATGGTAGGCCTGCCAGCCCGGCCCGTTGACTGGCCATATCTAGTCAAAGGGCATTGCTGCTAAATGAAATAAATTATACTAAATGATTATTAGACTTGATTGGATATATACATATATCCTTGGAAAATTAATGTTAGTGTCCTTTCTCTAACGCTGCATTCTTGAAAGCTGGTTTATGGATTTCACACCTTTCCACACTAAGTATATACATATAATGTTGTTGACCAGCGAATTTGATCAAACAAATAATGATAGATTAGTGTTAATGATACAACAAAAATGCTATAAATACATAATATTGTACAGACGAGTATACATAACATTCCATTGAGTGAGATCAACTAAAAATAAAATATCAAGTGTGGACTCTACTCCATGTGAGTGTTACGTACACCTCTATATACACTTATTATATACTTGTAGCATTTTTCGTCATACAATATTTATTCTGTTATAACTTGGGATAATATATGAAAAATGTCTGTAAAGGGAAACTGCACGTAGTTAATACCGTATTAATTGAGAAATATATTTCTTGAATTCTGAGATTTTTCTGAACTCTTTTTTAGATGATTCCTATGACGATTTATAGTAAGGAAAGTCCAAATACTGTTTATCGGGCAGTACATCATATATTAAATAGAAAAGACACGCATTTAATGCGACATGTGATCCTATGAGGCTATGTTGGAGTATCACTTGTGAGTTATCCCACATTGATTTTACAGGGAAATTAGTCCTAGCTTATATACCTAGTGAGCTACTCCTTCCATCACCAATTGGTTTTGGGATGAAACTTCACCATGGTGCACCTAACTCCACCCTCTTATAGCGTGCTTCATTTGCATGGGACAACACCCTCTTGCCTCGATTCTCTAATCTTACAGCACGTAGGCTGACCGGCATTTGGTGGGCTTGTCCTATCCTTCATCATCAGGCTACAACTAACCGTTGTTTTAATATTTTTTGTCGCCTTAGTGCACTTGGATCGATTGATATTAACTTTTGGCTCATTTAATCTAGATATCGAGCTCAGCTCTGGTAGCTTCGATAATTTCTTGGTCGCCCTTACACTAGAGGTTATCTAACCTGGGTGTCCAGCTTGATTCTCGCACGATTCCCAACTATTTTTACTCCTTCCGGCTTGATTCTCGCACGATTCCCAACTATTTTTACTCCTGGATTCGATTTTCAGTCTTAATCCTCCGACCCGCACATTCAGCTCCACTATTTCTTCATTAAGCGGTTATATTTAGTTCTGGGCCCATCCAGCTCAGCTCAGATGTCAACATATAAGCCACCGAGCTCAGATGGAATCACAGGGCGTTTCTTCTGAGGTCGTTGACATGCGTCATTTTTGTGTATTTTATAGTGATTTTCGTGTATGTTTCGTCGTAGTTTGATATATAATTATTTATTTATTTAATTAATTTTATTAAGCTATGATGAGGTATTTTATTTTAAATTTTAATAAGAAATGGGGCCGTAATAATTATTGGAGTAAAAAACGGCGAGAATAGATCGAATACGGTGCGAGTCGTGTATTGAGACAGACCGAATTGCAAGTCCTTATTGGAGAGAAGGAAATTAACTCTTTTGGGCCAAGGAAGCAGCCATTAAAGTCATTTACCTAGCAGCCCATTCCTATCATAGCCCATTTGGAAAAGTGATGTTGGAGTGGTGGACCAACCCAAAATAACAGTTAAAAGGGTCCAAAAGCGGAGCCCAAATACTCCGCCCATAAGCTCTTTAAGTTGAGGATATAATTGTCTGTTTCAAGCATTTTTCTCCTCCATAACAGCACGCACCCGCGAGTAGGGTTGTAAACAAATCAAATATTTTTTATTCGATTCGTGATTCGCATTCGAATGATGTTTTAGATTCGAAATTATAACGAATTCGAATTCAAATGTGTAGATATTCGATTCGAAATTCAAATATTCGATTCGTTAACAATAATTATATAAATTTTACAAATTATACATAATATACATTTTTTTTATAATATATGTATATATATATTGTTATATTCCTAATACTTTTATGACATAAAAAGTAAAAACATCATAAATTAACAAATTTTTCTAAAAATATATAAAAAATAAAATTTATTTTTGTAATTATAATATTTTTATACAAATTATATATAATATACATTTTGTTTATAATATATGTATATATATATATTGTTATATTCCTAATATTTTTATGACATAAAAAGTAAAAACATCATAAATTGACAAAATTTTCTAAAAATATATGAAAAATAAAATTTATTTTTGTAATTATAATATTTTTTAATTATAATATTTTTTTGAAAACGAATTTCGAATCGAATATAATATGTTCGAATATTCTAAATGAATCGAATACGAATCAAAAAATGAATTCGTTATCGAATCGAATCACGAATTGAATCTTCGAATATTTTAAACGAATCGAATCGAATCTTTGGGTATTCGCTTTGATTCGATTCGTTTACAACCCTACCCGCGAGAAGCTGCCATGATAATGCAGTGAACTGGAGCCTCGCCACCATTCACCGCTGGACAAAATCGCCACTGGAGCTCCGACCAGAACACTAGCCGCCTTCCTGCCTTTAGAACACAGAGGCCGTGCTTACGCCGGAGAATCGGCTGGGAACGACCATTGATGAGCTGCCACCACCTCGCCCCCGTTCACCGCCACACTATCTCTTTGACGTTGGAGATGCCGGAAACACGCCATCAGACCTCCATATCCATCAATAACCTCCATGTTGTCACCAGAGAGGAGGGGAGTGCTGGGATCTGTGAGGATCTCGATAATGTGCATGTCACGGACTATCTACAAATTAAACCCTAAGCGCAGCGGAACTAGAAGCGAGAGTTCAACACTTTAATTATTTTATTTTAAATATGATTTTAATATAACCTCATAATCTCACTAACAACTAATCTTATAAACTTTTTCAAAATTAACTTTTGGTGGACCATATAAACTCATTTTGAGTGGATATATATTTGTAAACAAATACACCCTTAATATATTTTAGAGCAATTGAAAAAGATTTTTTTCCAATATACATAATTCCTTCTAGATGAGAATGGGATGGGCCCTCCCTCCCTCTCTTTATATAAAATAAAAAGCAACAAAATATGTACCAAAGAAAAAAAAAAAAAGCAACAAAATACATAGTATTGTAAAAAATCTTCTAGATGAGAAGCACAGGTGATAGGCATGGTTTACAAAATCGGACCGAACCGGCCGGTCCGACCGGTTTAACCGAAAATCGGTCATTACACCGGTTCGATAGCAAATCGGCTGATAGCAAAACCAGTCAAAAATCGGTTGGTTCAACCGGTCATTTTTTTTTTTTCCTGTTAACCGTAAATGAATTCAAGCACATTTATAATGCAGAACCTATTATGTTAACCGATGTGGGATAAACAGGTAGTAGGAATTCCAATTGCTAAGCCACGTTGGAGGAAATTGTCTTTTTCCATATTTTTGCCATTTTATTTTATTTCTTAACTAGTACGAATTTTGTGCGATGCACTGGTAAAAGATATTTATTGATATTTATAATTTAAAAAGGCTTATTAAGTAATATTTATAAATTAAAAATATTGAATAAATATGTAATACAATTTACCTATATTAATTTATTGAACATGTTACGTAAATTTTATATCGTGCTAAATTACATAAAACATGTCAATTTAAAATTAGTACACAACCTTTATGGTGCACGTAACTAATAATAAAATACAATATAATCATTTCAAAATAAATGTCATTTAAAATACTTATTCAGAAATTCGATTTGACTATAATGTGATTCCATAAAATAATTATTTTGATAAAATTTTTATCATATATTTAAAAATTCTATGTGAGATTTATTTGTAGACATATATTCGTAGATTCTATAATATTAAATTTGTAAGATAATTTCGATATGATCGACTCAAGTTAAATATGAACTAAAATTTTCTAAGAAAATTTCGGTTCGATATATTTAACATAGAAATTTTATTTAATGTGCAAACTAAATATTGCAAATAATCGCAGATCCTACGCTATTAAAATTTTGAAGGTAAGTTAACGGGTTTCATTTTGATATTGGATGGAAATTAAAAAACAAAGTAAAAAAAATATATTTTAAAAATTTCTTTATTTATTAAGCAAATTTTTATTTTTTTTGCGAGAAATAATTACTATTTACAATATGATCAACCCCTTTATATATATATATATATATATATATATATATATATATGGGCGTGGGTGGATATTCTCTTTCCATATTTTTGTCCTATATATCATCTTCAAGCCTTTCGCAGTAATCTATCATTATATAAAAAGAATTATTTTTTTACAAATTTAGAAACAGTTTCCCGCCAAAATAATTAATTACATACTAAAATAGCATAATTAAAAAAAATAAATAAAAGTCCATAATTATCTCAATACAACACCTTTTTAATTTTTGGAAAGAATTCCTATTTATATGAATTCTTTCAATTATTTTTTGTATATAAAAAAAACCGAGATGGGCTATTTGATTTTCAAAAAAATCAATAGCAATAATTTGGTAATTATTAGTAAACATTTAGTGCGAATAATTTATATGCATACGTAATTTTTTATTTAAGTTAATGTGAAATCAATAATTGATCTAAATCTATTGATTAAATTTTTCAAATATTTTCAATCAATTATTTTATTTCTACCTAATTTTACTTTATTTTTATTGATATGCTACCATAAGATTTGAAGAAACAATGATTAATAAAATTAAAAATTTGTAATCTAATGTGTAGTCTAAATTTGAGTTCCAAATTCATACGTCAAATAAGTAATTATTCATAACTTACGAGTCAACATTAACTTTGACGACGTAATGAAATAGTCAATTATTCATAGTTTAATAAATTATTCAACCATTTCACTTTTTTGATTTGAATATTTTATGTAAAAACAAAATCATGTAATTAATGAAACAATATAAGATTTATAATTATACTTATTTTTCACATATATTTTTAAATAGATGAGAAAAATTTACAACATACCTATAAATTCAATTAAAAAAAATTCGATTGTGTTTTTTATTCCAAACAATCAGATTGCCGAAAAATTTCCTTAGAACTTGAATTGAAAATTTGAAATTCAGAATCCCTTCTCATTTTAGTTGCCATAAAACTGGGTTTAATCCAAAATCTCTTCCTAATATAAAGGATTTTGTTCAAATTGAATTTGAAAAATATCTAATCACATGCTTTTATCCATATCCTTAAATGAAGGATTTTGTGCCACTTTAAAATTAGCAAACCTCTTGGAAATAACAAAATCATAATGAATTTCTATATTTTTGGTTTCAATCTGCACGAAATTCAAAATGGTTTAAGAATTTCAAATCAATTAAAATTCACCTCTTTAATTTTTTTCCATATTTTTCAAAATTTTACAATAATTAAATCAATTTACAAATGCATTATTTCAAAAATCAAAAGGATAATTTTGAAAATAGACAGATTTTTTTTTTCAAAATTGTCTTAATCTCCATTCAATATAAAATAAATCCCACTTTATTTGAAAAATTGATAAATCTACATAAAGCGTGGAAGTTTATGCCTACAAATTTTATTTACAGTAACTAAAAATAATAATAATTTTGAATTTTTTTGTACTCAAATTACTTATAATAATAATTATAATAATAATAATTTTCACAGTAACTAAAAAATAATAATAAATCTGAAACTTCTGTACTCAAATTAATTAAAAAGATAATAATAATAATTTTGAATTTTTTTGTACTCAAATTACTCAATTGAATAATAATAATAATTTTGAAATCTTCTATACTCAAATTTTCAGGTACGGCAGTGCCGTCATAATTTTCAGCATCATGTCAATATTTATTTTATATATACTAGGTAAATTTTCTTTCAAAAATTTTATAATGTATTTATATAGACTTATAATATTTTATCATTGTCATATTAAGAAAACATCTTTCATACAAATGTAAACTTTAATTTTTTTAGATATATTTTTTTTATAAAATAGTTTAGAAAAGTTGTAGGTGACTTCACATATTTTAATAATAATATATAAAATTTTAGATAATTTTACATATGTTAATATGATATTTTAGGAGTTTTTAATTGTTTAAATATACAAATTTTATATTCTCTTGAACAAGCTAATTTTATATCGTTTATGATGAACTGATATACCGTAAATTATATGACATGTTAACCCCACATCGTTAATTTATAAATATTATTTAATATCGTCTACCCTCATCTTTAATTTATAATATTTTTTCTTGCTCTTTTAACAGAGGATCAATAGTGGTTCCCACTTCTTTCATTGGAGACTCGAACTCGATACATATTTATAATTATTATTTAATATTGTTTACCCGTGCATCGCACGAGATACACACTAGTTTGTTATGTGAAGTATCTACTACTATAAATTTTGATTATAATAGATGTATTCATTAATATTATATTTATTACTTTCTGGAATCATCACAATTCTTATCAAATCAAAAGACCGGTCAGAACAGTCTTTAAAAATTAAGCATATTTATAAAATATTATATAGTTTAAAATATCAATAAATTAAATAATTTAAAAATAAGTTAATTATATTTATGAAATATTATCTATTTAAAAATATCAATAAATTAATAACGTTTGAATTAATTAAACTACTTGTCGGATCATTGAACCAGTAACTTTACGTTACGATCAACCAGTTCAACCACTAATCGGACCAGTGAACCATTGAACCAGTAACTTCACGTAGACATGGCCACGAGCCGACCCGGCCCGTGACCCGACCCGTGAACCGGTACCGACCCGACCCGATCCGGTACCGGTACCGGCATGAACGGTGGCCGGTTAGTGAACCGGACCGGGCCCAAAGCGGGCCGGTTACGATTCTCCCTTTTTATTTTTTGTACCGGCGGTCCAGGCCGGGTCGGACCAAATTCTTTGGTTTTTTCAAGGGTCGTACCCGTGGGTGAACCGCCGGACTGGTGAACCGGCAATTCGGGCCGGTTCTATGAACCGGCCCTTGGGTTTTAGCGGGCCGGTTGCGGTCCGCGTGTTGGCTGGCCCGTGGCCTGTCCGGTCGAGCCGGGCCGGGCCAAAACCCGGCTTCTGGCCATGTCTAACTTCACGGTTCGATGACTGGTCCGGTTTTGAGCTCTGGTGTCTATCCTTATATACATATTTATATGTATGAACCCCCTTCTTTCGAGATGGTCAAGCAGTCACCATCACCACCTCCTTTACAAGAAAGGCTCAAACGTGAGCTCTTCCTCTCAAATTAAATGTCAAATAAATACTAATAAGAACATTATATTATATAGTATTATATAAATGTCTCCACTTCCTTTTCCGCCTCCTAATACCTATCACGTTTCACATATGCACCAAAAACCAAAACAAAAAGAAGAAAATAGTTGAGATGCAAATAAAGTCCCATTTGGTAGCCTACCATTCAAAATATTTTAGTGCCTATCGCTTTACTTGGGTCTACGCATTCGTCCTCCTTTTGCTGGCATATATACATACAGTTGGTGTTCGTGTTTGTGTTTGTGTTTGTGTTTGTGTGGTGTATCCATTCGTTAATTCCTTCATCTTCACTGTGAGCGTCTGTGATTATGCCATCGTAGTAGAGTTTCTCTTGCAGCTCTTTTATGGTCTCTGACTGTCCTGTAAGGCTGTAAGCCCATTTTTCTTCACACATTTATGAACATATTTAAAGCATCTAACTAGCATTAGCATAGGGTGGTTGAATTTTGGGGAAATGCTAATCATTTCGTCGAGATTTGTAACCGTCGGATCATCATGTAACCTTCGTGGATAGTTGATAATCTACGACAGAAAGGTTCCGTAACGGGACCGTAGAATCTCCACCACGAATTTTGTGTATGTTGTAAACAGGACGAAGGGAGATTTAATGTAATAAAGTTTTGTTTTTCTTTATGTTTTTGCATATGGGCTGGGTGAAATCTTGTTCCTTAATTTGGATTGAAGTTAAGAATTTGTTTGTGGCATGCGGGTCGGATTAAACAAGTAATATCTTCTTCTTCTTTTTTTTTTTTTTGGGGGGGGAATGTGTTTGGTGATCATTGTGTTTGCCTAATTGTCTTGCTTTATTGTTCTTTAATATTTTCTTACTTTGCTGAAAGAATGTTGACTCTTACTCTTTATTCTTGATTTTGGATGATTACTTAATGCGTCAGTATCAAATTCACCAGGAAGAACAATGCTTGCTGAAAGTTTAAGCTTGCTGATTTTGATGCATTACAGAAAAAAAAAAGAATCTAATATTTATAATAATAATAAAAAAGAAATTATTCAAAACCCATAATCTTTGAGAAGAGTTAAAATTGTGTATGCTTATTGTTTGCAGCTTTAGCATAGAAGCAGAGGGAATCATCAACATCCATATATATATATCAAGCCAAAACGAGACCAATTTATCAAGAAAAAAATAAAAAAATGGCTGCAATTACTAGCAGCCGGCGCATGAGCTTGGGCTCCCTGAGTTCGAGAAGCTGGGCCTCGGCTAGTGTGAGGGAGGTTTTCACTGCACCTGGGCAGGACACCTTTGGGAGGAGTGGGAGAGAGTATGACGATCAAGAGGAGCTCATTTGGGCTGCCATCGAGCGGCTCCCGACTTATGACCGTACGAGAAAAGGGATTCTGAAGAAAGTGTTGGAAGATGGAAAGGTGGTTCGTGAGGAGGTTGATTTCACCCATCTTGGGGACCAACAAAAGAAGCGTCTCATGGAGAGCATACTCAGAGTTGTAGATGATGATAATGAGAGGTTCTTGCGCAGCCTCAGAGATAGAACTGATCGGTAAAACTCAATCTCGCTTGCGTTTGCTCTATGTTTTGTGTTATTGTTGTAATAGTATATGAGTTGATGAATATGTTTTGTTTTTCCAATTTTTTTTTTTTGGTGTGTGTGTTGTGGCAAATAGAGTTGGCATTGATATTCCGAAAGTGGAAGTTCGTTTTGAGCATCTCTCTATCACGGGGGACACACATGTTGGGTCGAGGGCGCTTCCAACTCTGTTGAACTCTACATTAAACGTGATAGAGGTATTTGGATCTGGTTCTTGATCTGATTATTTGGTTTCAAGCTATTACTGTATGCTCCATTGAAGTATGATGAGAAAAATTGTGTATTAGTGCATCTGTAAATCTTTTAATTTATTTCGCCATCTTAGCTTTTGTTTTGTTTTCATACGAATCATCGTTGTAACTCGGGGAGGTATTCTTCTTTTTTTGGAGTATCATTGCATATAATGAATATTCAAACTTACAGTTGGGACTTCTTCCATTTTCTTGTCTACAGGGGATTCTTGAGAAAGTGAGGATCATCCCTTCAAAGAAAAAGGCTGTCAGTATACTTGATGATGTTAGCGGCATCGTGAGACCTTCGAGGTGTGTTTATGGAAACTCTATAGAAACGCAAATTGGCTTTTAAAATGACAACGGTTTTTACGTGCCTAGCTCTGAAAGGCAAATAAGAATTACACAGAAAAATATGAATATATCTCAACCTTAGTGTGATGGCTAGGGATGGTAGTTAACATTTATAGCCGGAAATGTATTTGTTCACACATACAGTTGGCTAACCTGATGAAAATGCATAGTTTGCCTAATTATCTTGCCCATTTTATAGGATGACACTACTTCTCGGGCCTCCAGGCGCTGGAAAAACTATACTGCTAAAGGCTCTTGCAGGAAAGCTCGACAAAGATCTTAAGGTGCATTGAAACTTCAACTCGTTATTATCATACATTTTTCTTCTTTCCGTAGCCTCATCCCAGAAAATATAATTTCATTTGTTTTTCTTTCATTTAAATGGTAGGTAAATGGAAAAATCACCTACTGTGGTCACGAGCTCATGGAGTTCGTTCCCCAGAGGACATGCTCTTACATAAGCCAACATGATCTTCACCATGGAGAGATGACTGTGAGGGAGACATTAAATTTTTCGGGACGTTGTTTGGGAGTCGGAACTAGGTACGACCTTCTTGTTGAATTAGCAAGGCGAGAAAAAGAGTCCGGGATTAAACCGGACCCTGAAATCGATGCATTCATGAAAGCCACAGCCGTAGCTGGCCAAGAATCAAGTCTAGTAACAGACTATGTGCTCAAGGTTTGTATTTGTTGTCCTCTTTCACTCGAGACTTTGAAATGGCTGACCAATGAAATATTCTGTCTTATGCCATTGAGATTCCTTTTTTTTTGAAATCATTATTGCAGATTCTTGGTTTGGATATATGTGCTGATATATTGGTTGGAGATGAGATGAGACGTGGAATATCAGGTGGACAGAAAAAGCGGCTCACGACAGGTATATATGACCAAATCTATGAACTTTTTGGTGAATGTGTTAGTTATTATGATTGTTAACATTTTTTTGCACTGATTTAATAGGTGAAATGTTGGTGGGACCAGCGAAAGTTTTCTACATGGATGAAATATCGACCGGTCTCGACAGTTCGACTACTTTTCAAATCGTTAAGTACATGAGGCAGATGGTTCACATCATGGATGTGACCATGATAATATCCCTCCTCCAACCCGCACCCGAAACTTTCGAGCTTTTTGATGACGTTATTTTGCTCTCGGAAGGTAAAATTGTCTACCAGGGTCCTCGTGGGAACATCCTCGAGTTTTTCGAGAGTGTTGGGTTCAAGTGCCCAGAGAGGAAAGGTGTAGCTGACTTTCTACAAGAAGTCACCTCAGTAAAAGACCAAGAGCAATACTGGTTCAAGAAAAACGAGCCTTATAGATATATTTCGGTGGAAGAGTTTGTGGACCACTTCAGATCCTTCCATATAGGACAGAACCTTTGTGATGAGCTGGCGGTACCATATGATAGATCGAAAGCCCATCCAGCTGCATTGGTGACCGAAAAATATGGGATCTCGAACATGGAGCTTTTCAGGGCGTGTTTGTCCCGGGAATGGCTTCTGATGAAGCGGAATTCTTTCTTGTATATATTCAAGACTTTCCAGATAACTATAATGTCGATAATTACGTTCACGGTGTTTTTCAGAACAGAAATGAGGTCCGGGCAGTTGGTGGATGGAGGGAAATTTTATGGTGCATTGTTTTTCAGCCTCATTAATGTGATGTTTAATGGCACAGCAGAGCTTGCTCTGACAGTTCTTAGGCTTCCCGTGTTTTTTAAGCAAAGGGATGCTCTGTTTTATCCGGCTTGGGCCTTTTCCTTACCAATTTGGCTTGTGAGGATCCCGCTTTCTCTTATGGAATCATTGATATGGATTGTTCTTACTTATTATACTATTGGATTCGCTCCTGGGGCTGACAGGCACGTGTGATTGTGATTCATCTGAATAATTTTGAACTTTCTTTAATTTTAATTTATGATTTTTTCCTTTTTTTTTTCGTTCTTGGTTACATGATGTATTAGCATGTTAGTGGATAAACTTGTCTATACTGACTTGGTATTATTACCATCTTTTTTTCAGATTTTTCCGCCAATTGCTGGCATTTTTTGCACTGCATCAGATGGCTTTATCCCTATTCAGATTTATTGCCGCACTTGGACGAACACAGGTTGTTGCAAACACTTTGGGTACTTTCACTTTGCTGATGGTCTTTGTTCTTGGTGGTTTTATTATTGCCAGAGGTTAGTTAATTCTGCTGTTAGTGAATATCACACATTGCACTCTTTCTTTCTATTACAAAATAAAAAATAAAAAATTCCTTTGCATACATCTCTCTGTGAGTTTGACTTCAATCATTTCCATATGCATCAGATGACATCGAGCCATGGATGATCTGGGGCTACTATATTTCTCCCATGATGTATGGTCAGAATGCTATAGCCATCAACGAATTTTTGGATGAAAGATGGAGCACCGTAAGTACTTAATTTAATAATCTTTTGAGTGTTTGCAATATTCAAGAGGGCGTTTAGATGTGCTTGCATTAGGAAATCTTAATATTGACTAGAATCTTATTTTGAAAATTTACATAACTATTTGATCTTGAGAAACAGTACATTTTCATAACTTACATATTGATCTCATATCTGATGTTATATTCTTTTCAGCCAAACCCCGACAGCAGATTTAATGAGCCAACAGTTGGCAAGGCTCTTCTGAGGATGAGGGGCATGTTTACAGAGGATTATATGTACTGGATATGTGTTGCTGCTCTATTTGCCTTCTCTATTTTCTTCAACATCTGCTTCATTATCGCACTCTCGTATCTGAACCGTAAGAGTTCTGATCTTATGATTCTACTTAGATTATTTTCTGTAATCGTGTTCCTGATTTTGGCCGTATATCTCATTTATGCGTAGCTTTCGGAGATTCAAGGTCTGTTACTGTGGATGACAGTGACAAGAAGAAAAAGAATCTTGCCGCCTCAGAAAATTTGAACAATGATAGAACTGAAGCCTCGTCAGGTCCTAAAAATGGAGGTCTGAGATCACATGTGATTTAATTTTGTTTATACACAATTAATCCATTTTGCATCTTTACTTCAATGGTAATCAGAACTATTAACACTGATTTTGAATGATATACCATGGTTGTGGATTGTTGTTCAACCTTCATTGGTTTTACGTTCATCGGTAGCTATTTCATTTGTGGGAACTCTCAATTTTCTATTGCAATCAATTCAAAATGTTTACGAGCATTAAATATTACAGGCAACGGCATGCCTACTCAGAGTGATTCTGGAGGAAGCAGTCAAGCAGAAACTGCGAATGCGAAGAAGGGAATGGTGCTCCCATTCACCCCGTTGTCACTAGCATTTGACCATGTGAACTACTATGTTGATATGCCTGCTGTAAGTCAATTTGTCGTAAGACTTAATGCATTGTAACTGCTCATGAACTGTACTAGCAGAGCTTATGTCATGAACGTCTTATAAATTCTGCTTCATTCTGTAAAGTACAAGATGCATACATGACAAAAGACAGAATCGATAAATCTTTCGTTTGCTTAAGTGTCATAAATTCTACGTGGAAGTTTGATAGGTTGGAAAATTTTAAATTGACTTTAGAAAACAACTGACTCGTGACTGTCTATTCATGAAATATAGCCAGTGCACAAATATGTGATGCAAAAATCTTGAAAAGAGCTACAGGGATAGGATAACAATTCTTAACCTGACTATACAACCACATACCTTTGAACCCCATTTTATTTTTATTTATTTGTGTAATGATCGCAAGTTATTCAGTAATTTACTTATTTTTTTCTTTCTTTCCTTTGAAATGATGTCATATTATTTAATAATGATACTTGGGTAGTGAAGCAATAACAATAACAGAGTATTTGTTTAATTTGTAGGAAATGAAAAAGAGTGGGATTGAAGAAACTCGTCTTCAACTACTGAGAGATGTTAGTGGAGCCTTCAGGCCTGGAGTCTTGACTGCACTAGTCGGCGTGAGTGGGGCCGGCAAGACGACCCTTATGGATGTATTGGCAGGAAGAAAAACAGGTGGATATATCGAGGGCAGTATAAGCATTTCTGGTTATCCCAAGAATCAGTCGACTTTTGCCCGGATAAGCGGCTACTGTGAACAGACTGATATACATTCTCCTCATGTGACTGTGTACGAGTCGATTGTTTACTCTGCCTGGTTGCGTCTTTCTCCGGATGTGGACAAGGAAACACGCAAGGTATGGTGGCTTAAGCCTGATTCGTGATATTTGCTTATTTTTTCTTTCGAATTTTTTTAATATGAAAACTAATATCCTATACCACCCTTAGACTTCTAATGCTTCTGTTGTGAAAAGCAATCCTTAAAGTGAAAACAACAACCATAATCTCACACTACTCTTGTTTTTCTTTTATTATTTATATTTTCTGCCAGATGTTTGTTGAACAAGTGATGGAGCTGATCGAGCTGAATCCCTTGAAAAATGCCTTAGTGGGGCTTCCTGGAGTTGATGGCCTGTCGACAGAGCAGAGGAAGAGGCTCACGATAGCGGTTGAACTTGTTGCCAACCCGTCCATAATCTTCATGGACGAGCCGACTTCCGGACTCGATGCCCGAGCAGCTGCCATCGTCATGCGCACGGTTCGAAACACGGTCGACACGGGCCGCACGGTCGTGTGCACCATCCATCAACCGAGCATAGATATTTTCGAGGCTTTTGACGAGGTAGTTATATAACTTTTTTTGAAATATATTTTTGTTAAATTACAAAAACTTCCCCCACGGCTTAGACTGATTACGTAAGGGGAAAGTTTTCATGAGTGTCTCGTAATTTTTTACTGTGTAGCTGTTGCTGATGAAGAGAGGAGGACAAGTTATTTATGCTGGGCCTCTCGGACATCATTCTCATCTATTAGTAGAATACTTTCAGGTGAGCATATTATTTAATGTGTTCTGCAGACCTGTTTTTTGGGCCTGAGCTGAATAGTGATTAATATGTTGTTGTTTGTACAGTCTGTTCCTGGGGTTCCTGAGATTAAGGAAGGCTACAATCCTGCCACTTGGATGCTGGATGTTACAACTCCTGCCATGGAAGCTCAACTTAACGTTGATTTTGCTCAAATTTATAATAACTCTGATCTTTACCGGTAGGTAACGCGCACATGAAATGGTATTGTTTTTTGTTCATTTTGTTATTCCTTTTTGTTATGAATGAAGTCTTTTAAGCTCTCTCTCTCTCTCTCTCTCTCTCTCTCTCTCTCGTTCATGCCTTCACAGGAGGAATGAAGAACTAATTAAACAACTTAGCTTGCCAGCACCAGGGTCTGAAGATCTATATTTCCCAACCCAATTCGCTCAGTCTTTCATTAATCAATGCAAAGCATGCTTTTGGAAACAGCATTTATCCTACTGGAGGCATCCTCAGTATAATTCCATCAGGTTTTTTATGACGGCCATCATTGGAATTATATTTGGAGTCATATTCTGGGACAAAGGGGGACAATTGTAAGTCCAAAAAATACATCATCAATATCTTGTGCTCTAAGTCTATCTCTCTTTGTACATCTCTCTCTCTCTCTCTCTCTCTCTCTCTCTCTCTCTCTCTCTCTCTCTCTCTCTGTTTTTTTTTTTGTTTTTTCGAAAGCTCATTACCTAGAAATCGTTTGTTGCTGGTAAAAGGTCTACACAACAAGATCTAATGAACCTGCTTGGAGCCATATACTCTGCTGTTATGTTTCTTGGAGGCACAAATACTTCTGCTGTTCAGTCGGTTGTGGCTGTAGAAAGAACAGTCTTTTACCGTGAAAAGGCAGCTGGGATGTATTCAGCATTGCCTTATGCATTTGCTCAGGTAAGATTCATATTCAGAAATAGTTTATGTCGTCTTTGTAATTTTAGAGCACAACCTTTGAGGTTTAATCTTAGTTACAGAACAGCCCAGTTATCTTTTAAATAAAAACACAAGTTGGGGGTGTTTTTACAATTTCTACAAACATACCTAAGCTTTCCTTTAAATATATTTCTAAACGTTGTAATAAATATTCTCCGATATTCGCGCAGGTGGCAATCGAGACAGTTTATATATCAATTCAGACCTTCATATACAGCCTTCTCCTTTACTCGATGATTGGGTTCGATTGGCGGGCGGATAGATTCTTTTGGTTCTATTTTTTTGTATTTATGTGTTTCGTATACTTCACTTCGTATGGCATGATGCTTGTGGCAGTCACCCCAAATTACCAGATTGCGGCAATTGTCATGTCATTTTTCCTCAGCTTCTGGAATTTGTTCTCAGGTTTCCTCATTGCAAGAACGGTACGTGCCCTTAAGAGAACTACAAGTTCTTTTTTACATAATTACATAAACGAGTTTGATATTTTGTTTGATATAATGCAATAATATCGATGTTTTTATTTAGGATATTCCTATATGGTGGAGATGGTACTATTGGGCTTCGCCTGTCGCATGGACTATATACGGGCTTGTGACTTCTCAGGTGGGAGACCGGACGGACCCTATTCAAATACCGGGTAGTGGTGATATTCCTTTAAGAGAATATCTCGAGAATTCCTTGGGATACGATTACGACTTCCTGGGACCGGTCGCCGGGGCCCACATCGGTTGGGTCATTCTTTTCTGTATCGTTTTCGCTTACGGCATCAAGTTCCTCAACTTCCAAAAGAGGTGAAGGGAATGAGTTCATTTCAACACTTGATACTCTTATATTTTTATTTGTAAATGAGTTAGTTCCATGTGAAAAGCGTGTTTTTATGAAGGGAAAAGTTGCTATTCTCTGTTGTGTATTCTCTGAACCTCGTTTTGGTTTCACTGTATTGTTTTCTTGTGTATTCTTTATTATATAAATATAAATTGGAGGCATTGAGCCAAATCTTTCTGTATTTATTTTTTGTTTGCCTCTTATATTTTAAAAATTGCACGAGAGCATTAAAAAATTATGTTGGAGTTGGGACTGAAGCTCGTAACCCGTTGGTTAAAGAATACTAGAAGACCTAAAATATTTGGTCATATATAGGCTGGTTCAAATAAAAACTAAGTCTGGTGTGAGAACCGTGAGAACCGTATTTAATGTTATTTTTAATTGTGTATGATGCTATTTTTAATATTGCACGATGCTGTTATTTTCACAAATGCTAATAAAAGTTTTAATGCTATTTTTAATAAATACATCCTAGTTAAAAATAGATAAAATAACATGATAATTTGAATAATAAATAAAATAATATGACCGGAAAATAAATAAAATAATAATATCGCATAACATAAAATAAATATAACCTTTATATTAAATAAAAAAATAAAATTTTAATTGTAATAATAAGGCTACTTATAAAAATTTCTAAGTGTGGAAATTTCATATAAATTCTTATATTTTATACAATTTTCAAGTGAATATAAATAATAATTTATTTTATCTACAATGTATTTGTTCATTTATTTTATTTAATTTTTAAAAAAATAAATAAATAGTATTAATAAATATTTCAATGTTATATTAATAATATGGATATTATTTTCATTCATGTAAATATAAATAATATTAATTTATATTAAAGTTTATATTTATTAGGATTTAGTCATATAAATATTATTTTCATTCATTTTTAAGTTATTTTATGTTATTTTGTTACATTTATGTTACTTTATTTTTTTAATTAAATTACTACTTATTTAAAATATATATAAAGGTTAGAATAAATAATAAATAAGAAACTGGATAAATAAATTATTTTATTGTAATATATTTATTTTAATATTTAATTTAAATTTATTTCATATTTTTTATTTTATTCTAATTCATTATTTTACTAATTATTTTATTTTATTTCTTTTATTTTATGTTATTCTATATCATTTATTAATTTATTTTACCTAATTTTATATTAATTTTTTGTATAAATTTATTTTATTTATGTTTACTTTAGATAATATTATTTACACCAAATGAAATTCATTTATTTCATTACTTTAGAGGTTGATAGTGTAGTTTGTGGTAATTTTGGACTGCATTAATCCGAGTTTAGACATGCTGAAGCGGCGAGGGCCGCATACAAAATCGTGAGTTCGTATCAAGGCACAAGGGTAGCAATAAGCACAAGCGCACAACGGCTCGGTGAACTGGCCACGACAGTGACGGGCTATGGTGAACGAACTGGCCACGACAGTGATGGGCTATGGTGATTGAGTTCTAACGAGGAGCTGATCATGATTTCTTTATTTTAGAGAGCGATTCTATTAGTTCATATTATTTATGACCTATTTGTATATTCGGTATTTTCTTTCTTTGTAAGTTGTATTGGCCAATTGGCATAACTTGACAAATAATAAAAATCATTTTCGCTGGGTTTATTGAAAATCTCTCGTTTAACCGACGATCGTTAGCACGGGTTGTCACTATTCATATCGATTGATACACGATTTTCATCACTGATGCTTTCATTGAGAGAACCGATCATGTATCATTGTCAAACCGGGAGCGGATTGATCGCATGGAGAAGAGCGTGCCTTCCATCAATGAAGATGTACAATCAACAAACCAGGTAGTCGCGCGGATCGAACGAATGCCAATCCAATCATCCGCCAGGCGATCACGAAAAGATAATTCCAACTTGTCGTCGGACGAGTCCACATGATCAGATAAGGAGCAAAAATTTCAAAATGAATTTGCATATGATGAAGAGAACCGATCTAAGGGTTCGAACCACCGGGAAAGGCACCAGAGGATATGCTCAAATTGATTTTGCCAACCTTTAATGGAACGAACCCAGAATCGTGGTTGAGCCGCGCCAATAGGTATTTCAAAATCAATGATGTACTAAAGTTCAACTTTACCGTCTACTATCTCAATGGAGTGGCAAGCGTTTGATGGCAGTAGTTGTTGGGTTTTATAAGAGGAAGGACATTAAGATCCGTTGGAAACATTTTGAAATAGAATTGATTACACGGTTTGGGTCATTGGAGTATAATGATTACGAAGAGGCCCTCTCGCACGTTAAACAAGTTGAAAATGTGTGTGAATATCAAAAGGAGTTTGAACATACTGCGATTTGCATTCACGATTAGCCAGAGGGGGCACTAATTTGCGCATTTGTCGGGGGTTTAAAAACCAATTTGGCAGCCGACGTACGATTGAAAAGGCCAAGGACTCTGCGTGAAGTCACAGAGGCAGCCCTCATGCATATGACCACCTGATCGCTGTGCGGAAGGCCATTTGTCCAAAAGCCAAAAACGACCATGGCCGTTCTCCAGCAATTTGCGAAAAGCCGGAGAAGGACCGACTGCAACAAACACAAGCCTATACCCACTATGGTTAAATAATTGTAATATCCTATTTAGTTATTAGTAATAAGTATCAGTTTATTTCCAAGATTGAGCTATTTTGAGGCTTAAAAAGTTAAAATTTTGAAGTTTTCAAGTCACACGGGTCGTGTGACAAGTCACACTGGTCGTGTGAAGTCACACGGGTCGTGTGGCAAGTCACACGAGTCGTGTGTATCAGCACCGACAGTAAGTTTAGCCTCGGCTTTTTTACACGGGTCGTGTGACATAAGTCACACTGGTCGTGTGATGTCACACGAGTCGTGTGACATATGTCACACTAGTAGTGTGTAGTCACACTGGTCGTGTGACCGACAAAAATTTCAGATTTTTGGGAAATTGATTTTGGTGCCAACCATAGTTTATTTTGAGCAATTAAATATGCTTAGATGATAATTTGAAATGTTTGGTAAGGACTTGTTTAAGTGATTAATTTTTACAAGTTTAAATTGTTTAATTTGTTAATTTATTCACTCCAAATATTTTATTCCAAAGTTTTGG